CCATCCTTCTATGAGTAACACTACTGTCAAGACTGCAATATCTCGCGACCGATATAAATTTTTGGCATCAAAATTATATTTTGCATCTCCTCAGAAACCAACTGATTACAGTAAAACTTATTACATCGACGATGTTGTGGAGTATTTGAAAGGTACATTTCAAAAATACCGGCAGGATAGTATTAGACAGAGTATAGATGAATCAATGACGATGTTTAAGGGAAGACCATCCTTAAAACAATACATGCCCCTTAAGCCACTACAACGTGGAATAAAAATGTGGCTGCGATTCGACTCTGAGACAGGGTACACATATGATTTCAATATATACAACAGAAGGGAACAAAATCAATGCGATGGAACTTTAGGCGGTTAAAGCCTTAGTTAGTTCAATTAAATAACGTGATGTGACGCTATGTTTCGATAGATTCTTTACTACTGTAAATCCACTTGAGACCCTAGAGTTCTTAGCCTTAGGAACATGCATAAAAAATTGGAAAAAATCTATCACACATAAACGAGAAATTGGATAGAGGCGAGTCTTCGTTCAGGGTCAGCTCATCTGGCCTTTTTTGCGTTAAATTGCAGGATACAAAGGAAGTTTTAGTACTTGGTAATTGTCATAAGCCGACAGTGAAAACAGTCAGTAAAACATTAAAAGATGAGCGAAAAATAACTGTACCATGTCCATACTCTATAAAATTTTACAGAGAAGCAATGGGTCGAGTAGATTGCGCCGATCAAATGGCAGATATTTATGACTACCGGCTTAAAATGTTTTCTGCTGTGAATGGATAATTTATTGCGACGAAGAGACAAAACTCCCTTTATTGAGTTCATAGTCTCAAGTAGCACAAAATTCAAAAATACACCAAAATATTTTGTGTATTTTTTGCATCGGCGTGATATACATTTTCAATATAAAAAATATGCCATTTCTAGGCGCAGTTTTTGAACAGTTTATTTCGATTCAGTGTAAAGGTTATACCGCTTTTTCGTGCATTATTTACACCTACCGTAAATTTTTTTTACTGATTTTCGGCCTATATATTATGCCAGTGGTATACAAGTTTTCTTGTTTCTAGAACATAATATAAACTCCGTTGGTGTAAAATACATTGGTATTGGCTCAAATCATACACCATAATGGTCAAGATTTTATATCATATTCTAGCATAAATATATTTTCATGAGTGTGAAGAGTACAAAAGGATTCGAGGAATAAAATTTACTACTAATCAAATTTAAAATTAACTCAGACATAAAATTTACACCGAAGCTCTTATTTAATCTGCATGGAATTCTTTTTATAAATCTCAGCATTCCTCTTCGTAATATGCAGGCAAGAAAATCGCGAATATATATGAATGTGAGTTCATAATTTAAAAACGAGGTACATTCTGTCGAGTAAATTTC